TGGGAGGTGCCACCAGTAGGGGAATTCCTTATCAAGTGCAAGCGATCCCTGAGAGAGAAGAGAAATCCAGGCAGTAAAGGCTACACACAATGAAGGCATTTAAGTTTCCCGTGATCTCTGTCATCCTCTTAATGGCTGATACAAGTCAGAATCCGAGTGGTTTTCTAAATGCAGATATGTTGGCTCCAGCTTAGGCTTAGTGAATGGATAGGCAGAAGCTGCTCCTTCAGAGATGAGGTAGTTGAATCAGAATATATTTTAAAATATTATCACCCATTCTACCCACTCATGAAGAGAACATAACTTCTTAGAGGAGCGACATGACTTAGTCTGTTGTGCCCTGGCTCCTAAATGGCTGGCTTAGCTTCAGCAAGAGAAGAGTGAGGTTTTTATTTGCTACAGGACTTCCAACCAGTTCATTCCCATTTCAGTCCCCACTGAGAATTTGCATTTTCACCCCAGATAAGGGTGGATGTTGTTAAAATATAAATAGAGTCTGATTCAGTATATCTGAGATAGAAATGCAATGCAAATTCTCAGCAGGGGGTCAATGGCATTTTAAAGCTGGGACTCAACGCCCTAATTTCCTAGGGCAGCTATAACAAATTTCTCTGTACTTGATGACTTAAAAAGTTGAAATTTATTCTCTTACAATTCTGGTAGGTGCAAATCTGAAAGCAAGGTGTCAGCAGAACTATATTTCCTTCTCGGGCTCTGGGAGAGTCATTCCTTGTCTCTTCCACATTCCAGTGACTTCCAATATTCCTTGGTGTTCTTGACTTGTAGATACTACACCTTAATTTCTCTCTGTGTTAGGCCAGGCTGACTAGAGAAACAAATTCAGTGACACTCATATAAAGCTCAAGAAAGAGTTTTATCTCAAAGCTTTATATATCAGGAAAACATCCCAGCCCAGTCCAACTCAAGTCCTTACGCCCGATAGTTCATACATCCCTCTTCTGACTCACACAATCACAAGCAATGATGCAGAATGCAGCAAGTGCACAGGCCGGTGGGTGCAAAGTCGGTGGATCCAATGGTAGTGGACACACCTCCAGGGTTCTGGCAGGTCTCAGAGTGGCTCGCCACCAGGAAGGTGGGGACAGAAAGAGAGAGAGAGAGAGCAGTCTCCAGAGAGCCATTTATCTCGTTTCACACCTCCAAAGGAAGTCATCAAGCTGCGACCTGATTGACAGGCTCAACTCCACCCATATCGTCTCACAGGTGCCATGCTGGCACAATAGACCGCACTATCACACTGTATCTAAAATATCCCTCGCTTTTCTTGCATATGGACACCAGTCATTGGATTTATGGTTTGTTGTAGTTGGGGAAGAGTCCCAAAGCTCAAATAAATTTGATAGAGACTCCTTACTTAAATCTTAAATGAGACAAAAATAAACCCAAAAAATGAATCATGTAGGTCAAGGTTACCATGTGCTTGGGGGCATAATATGGTCCAAATTATTCACATCCATATGACTACTTAGTTGAGCAAATAAATATAGGATATTGTTGTAAAAAATGACGATTAATGGTAAATCAATTCATCACAGTCTCAGGCGGGACTACAGAAGCAGGGAAATATTATGACTGGGATATATACACTATTGCAGATTTGAAAAGTTTATGGGATTGCCTCTGAGACCCTCAATCACCTTGTCAAACCTCGTGACTCATAATCACGCAGCCCTAGCATCCAAGTTTCCACCAAATTTCAAGCCAGGCAAGAGCTGAAGTCAAGACTGAAGCAAAGCTTTTCACACAGCCAGTCAATTGTTAAAAGAACTCAGTGGAGGCTGAATCTATGTGTAGACTCAAAATGGGATTTAGGGCTCCCACCGTGAATTACATAGACCTTGTGCTCAGAATGTAAGCTTTAATACAGGCTCACCATAAATCTAGGATGGTCTCATCTCAAAGTATCTTTTACTATATCTACAAAAACCTTTATTCCAAATGAGTTCACGTTCTGAGACTCGTAGACGTCTTTTGGGAGAATGCCATTCAATCCATGACAACCGATAACTGCGATAGAGTGCTCGAGAGGCAGCTTATGTGGGCACCTCTGACAACAGAGCAGGAAAGAGTCTATGGAGAGGAATGGGGGAATCAAGGCCCATGAGTGAGGGCATGATAAATGTTGGGTAAAGGCATTCTGATGGTTGGTGTGGCACATGAAACGCTGAGCAGAAGCTCTCATTAGTTTTTTGTGTTTCTGTTCTCATAAGAGCAGAAATAACAGAACGCTCAGCAGTATTTCAAGTAGTGAACATTTTCTGATGAGTAGATGTTATTGAAAAGCCCCATCCTACCATCAATTTCTAGGTAAGAAAATCTTTTGCCAAGATCATAAATCTCTTAGTTTCTGTAGTCTTATCTATTCTTAATTGAAGAAAAAAGAAAGAAGTAGTAAAGAATAACATTGATATTCCTGTGGTCTTGGCCTCCAGGTCAGTGTAAAACCCCCAAACAATTTCCATTTGCCAAGCCTACAACTCCAAATGATGAGTCTGAGTTTCCAGTTGGGACAAACTTGTACTATGAATGCCTCCCTGGGTACTCTGGGAAAGTGTTCTCTATCACCTGCCTAGAAAATTTGGTCTGGTCAAGTGCTGAAGACACCTGTAAACGTGAGTAGCCCTGCCCTGGGAGTTCTTCTGAATTTGTCTAAGAATCTAGGGGATCTGATTTAATTTGTTCAAATTTTGGAAGCAAGATGCCTAAGCGTGCTCAAGGTGTTTCAATGGTGGGTTGTCTTCTAAGTGCTCACTTCTTAGCACTTGATTCTCTGCACCATGACTGGGTATTAGTTTCATGGGAAAGGCTTTTGCAAAAAGTGTTAGGGGAAAAATATCTTCATTCACCAGAAGTCACTTTTGATAGCAGAAATCATGAATTGCATGCATCAGGGACACAAGGTATTCATTATGAATTTGCCTATTATAGATATTTCATGTAAATGGTATCCAAAGTTTATTAATGGTTATTGGAGGGGCAGAGAAATAGGGAGTCACTGCTTGGGGAACATTGAGATTTCCATTAAAGCTGATGAAAAATTATTGGAAATGGATAGTAGTGATTGGACTACATGATGAATATAATTAATGCCATTTAACTGTGCGTGTAAAACATGTTAAAATAGCAAATATATATATAAGTTTATATATAATATATTTTAAATATACGTATATATTACTTTTTGAAAGAAAGAAAATTATGAAGGTGTCATAGTTATCAAGTGCTATTGTAAGAGATAAACCACAAGCGAATGGCTTTAACAAACAAAAACATATTTTCTCAGTTTAGGAGACCAGAAATCTGAATTCAGGAGGCTGCCCTACTGGGAAAACTTTTTCTCTCCGAGAGCTCTGGAGGAAGGGCCTTGTCTCTTGCTTCCTTAGTGATATTCCTGAAGTCTGGCATCTATCTTCTTCCTTCTCCTCTGCTTGCTTCTCTGCTGGGTTAAAAAAGAAATTGAGTCATGAGACACCCAACACTAATATCGTTTTATTAACATAACATAGAAAGCCCACTACCAAATGGGATGAGAACTACAAATCTCACTACCATCCACTCCATTCTAACTCATAGCAATAGGTATAGATAGGAGTTAAGATTTGCAACACATATTTTGGGACGGCCACAATTCATGGACCCCCATAAATGGGTCACTATAAATTATACTTGGCTAATGAAAGATAAAGGGAGCATATCAATTTTGAGGGCTTTTATGGAAGCTGGTGGGGGTCAAAGGAGTCCCTGGTGGTGGAGATGGTGGACGCGCTTGGCTGTTCACCCAAAAGCCGGAGGTTCTAGTGCCCCAAAGTTCCCGCGAGAGGAAAGCCTGGTGATCTCCTTTCAAAGAGACCACCCTGAAAACCCTGTGGAACACAGCTCTACTGTGACCCTCCGGACCCCACCATGAAGAAAGCTGACGCTGTGATAACTGGTGTGGGTGGGATCAGAGTACAACTCTTTAGCTATGAATGACCTTTACTGGGAGATGCACAGAGGTCTATTGAAAGGTGACACACCCCTAGCTGCTTGATTCTGAGGTTACACAGCGGATTTCGTCAAACTGGCCAGTTCTGAGCAGCAAGCAGAGCTGTGTCACACAGTAAGCTGCACTCCGGTGTGAACCTTATACAGAAGGTAAAGTGAGCCCTATGTCTTGTCCCAAAGTCTGCTTCTTTCCTCTAGGAAAATCTTGTGGACATCCTCCAAAACCCTCCAATGGAATGGTGGTTATCAACACAGATACCCAGTTTGGATCAACTATTCATTATGCTTGTAACAAAGGGTGAGTTGGGAACCTTACCGCCTCATAGTGGCTTCTCCTGCAGAATCCCTGTTTCCACAGAGCAAGAAGAGAGTTGACCTTGTGCAGTGCTGAGCGCCCAACCCTTGGAATTTCCAAATAGGCAAATGGGAAAGGACACAATAAGCAAGAAAAACTTTGACATAAAATATGAATGGCTTAAATTTTCCTTTTGAAAGACAAAAATCTTCAAAATATGATTAAAACAAAGAGAATACCCACATCTAGCTGTTCAGGGATGTCTATTCAACACACATGAATCAAAGCAGCCTTACTCCTCAAGTCTTCTTGTTGTTGTTGTTGTTGTTGTTGTTGTTGTTAGGTGACATTGAGTCAGTTTCAAGCCATAGCAACCCTATCCACAGGGAAACTCAGCACTGCACGGTCCTGAGCCATCCTCACAATTGCTACTCTGTCTGAGCCCATTGGTGCAGCTCCTGTGTCAATTCATGTCACTTCCCTTTACCAAACGTGATGCCCTTCTCCAAGGACTGGTCCCTCCTGACTACATATCCAAGTATATAAGATTCTCCATCCTTGCCTCTAAGGGGCACTGTGGCCATACTTCTTCCAAGACAGATACGTTTGTCCTTTTAGCAGTCCGTGGTCCTTTCACTAGTCTTCTCCAGCATCTCAATTCAAATGCATTGATTTCTCTTCAGCATCCTTATTCAATGTCCAACTTTCACATGCAAAAGAGGCAACTGAAAATACTGTAGCATAGGTTCAGTGCACCTTAGTCCTCAAAGTAAAGTCCTTGCTTTTAAATACTCTAAAGAAGTCTTGTGCAAAAGATTTACCTAATATAATCTGTCTTTTGATCTCTCGACTGCTGCTTCCATGAGCATTGATTGTGGATCAAAGTCAGACAAAATCCATGACTACTTCAGTGTTTTCTCCATTCATCATGATGCACCTACTGGTCACGTTGTAAGGACTTTGCTCTGCTTTACACTGAGTTATAATCCATACTGAAGGCTACATCCTTGATCTGCATCAGCAAGTGCTTCAAGTCCTCCTCACTTTCAGCAACCAAGATTGCATCATCTGCATATCGCAAATTGTTAATAAACCTTCCTCCAATCCTGATGGCCATTCTCTTCATATAAGCCAGCTTGTGTGATGATTTGCTCTGCATACAGTTTAAATAAGTATGGTGAGAAGATACAACCCTGTCACACACCTTTCCTGATTTTAAACCATGCAGGATTCTCTTGTTGTTTCCCCACAACTACCTCTTGATTCATCTACAAGTTCCTCATGATCACAATAAAGTGTTCTGGAATTCCCATTCTTCCCAGTTTTATCCATAGATTGTTATGATCCAAACAGTTGAATGCCTTGGCATAGTCAGTAAGATACAAGTAAACCTCTTTCTGGTATTCTCTGCTTTAGCCAAGATCCATGTGACATCAATATGATACCCCTTGTTCCACGTCCTCTTCTGAATCTGGCCTGTACTGCTGCCATCATTGTTCAGAAATGGTTCAAATTTGGAACTATATATAATATAATAGAACATAGATATTTTCTTAATTTCATATAAATATACTCTCTGTCATAGCAAGAACATGATTATTGTTATTTAAACTCTAAAATCATGCATAAAACTTTAATTAAAGTTAGAAGAAGGAAAAGAATGCTTTGAATATTTCTTACTATTAAAACTTATTGCATAAATAAAATAAAATTATACTCTCCTTCATCACCACCTTCCAAAATAAACATATTATATGAAATGTAAAATTTGTATAATGTATAAAATATTATATTTCATGCATTTTTATATATGAAATTTTTTTCTTTAGCATATTGTTACTGTGTTAGTCTGGGTACATTAGAGAAACAAATCCACAGAAACTCATATGTATAAAATAGAGTTTGCCCTTGCTTTCCCATCCTGGCTCTGCACGCAGCGGCTGCAAGATGCCCAAGAAGAACCGGATCGCTATCTATGAGCTCCTTTTCAAGGAGGGGGTAATGGTGGCCAAGAAGGATGTCCACATGCCCAAGCACCTCGAACTGGCGGACAAGAATGTGCCCAACCTTCACATCATGAAGGCCATGCAGTCTCTCAAGTCACGAGGCTACGTGAAGGAACAGTTTTCCTGGAGACCTTTCTACTGGTACCTTACCAACGAGGGGATTCAGTACCTCCGGGATGACCTTCACCTGCCCCCTGAGATTGTGCCTGCCACCCTGCGCCGCAGTCGCCCCGAGACTGCCAGGCCACGGCCCAAAGGCCTGGAGGGTGAGCGACCAGCCAGACTGACCAGAGGAGAGGCCGACGGAGACACTTACAGACGGAGCGCTGTGCCGCCTGGTGCCGACAAGAAAGCCGAGGCTAGGGCAGGGTCAGCCACGGAGTTCCAGTTTAAAGGCGGATTTGGTCGTGGAAGTAGTCAGCCAGCCCAGTAAAGTCGGAGGGGATGCTTTTGTGGTGAATAAACCTGTAACCAGAAAAAAAAGAAAGAGAGAGAGAGTTTTATATAAAGTGTGAGTGCACATCAAGAAAACATCCCAACCCAGTGCTACCCAAGCCCACAAGTCCAACATTAGCACATATGTCGGACACCAATCCACAAAGTCCTCCTCCATCTCACAAAACACACGCAATGATGCCAACTGTAGGAGGAAAGCAGAATCAGTGAACATGTAAGCATCTCAGCACTGGCAGGGGTCTCCACACGGCTGCTCCAGCACCCAGGGCTGCATCAGGGTAGGTCCATGTGGCTTCTCCTCAGGGACGTTTCCCAGGAAGTGAGCCTTCCCAGCTGAAACAGGGAACTGACTAAGGCAGCTGCACCCTAGTCTGACCATCAGAAAGCAAGAGACCTGAGAACTCAAAAGGCGAGGCTTACTGAGCCATTTATCTCTTCACCTTCAATTAACCCCACATGTGTTTGTCAGCCAGGTTGGCACAGTAAACTTTAACTATCTCAGTTACTAACCAGAAATACTAAAAGATTTAGCTGAAAAACTATCAGAACTAATTAGAAATATTAGTAAAATATTCTGTAAAAGGTATTATTAAATTAAGATCTTTCTTTATATAAGTAACCAAGTAGGAATGGAAAATAACATTCATAATAGCAACAAAATCAACTCAACATAATTTAACAAGAAATATGCAGAATTTTCAATAAAATCTAAAAAACTTTCATGGGACACAAAAGATGTGCTTAAGAAAATGGAAGATAAAAAGCTTTAAAATATTTAAAAATATTTAATATTCATATGTTATATTTGAATTAATATGTAATGTAGAGTTCCAAAATTATTCATTTTTAAGTTGGAAAATATATACCATGAAACCCACCAACAAAGTTTCCTGAAATAGTAACCAGAGGAAATTTTACTTCCATAGTGTACTATAAGTCAATGGATATTAAAAACATAAAAATTGTTTTTAAAACTGACATAAGGCAGGAGTAGAGACACAGAGCCAGAGAACAAATACAGAGCCCAAGAAATAGTTGTTTTTGTAAGAATTTAGCGATGATTAAGATGATATTTAAGGGCAAGGAAAATTGAATTATTTATTAGTAGATCAATTATCTAAAACTATAAGCTAGACGCCTGTATAGACCACACCAAACATTAAGTCAAAGTCCATCTAGACTTAAGACTAAATGTTAGACATAAAGCATCATATATAGAGGTAGATCTGTTTCTGACTTAAGACTTTAATAGACATATTTTAAAAGTAATTTTATTATAGACAAAATTGAACTTTTATGCATACAAAAACATTAAAATTTCCTATATACAAAAAATAAAGACCCTCAACAAATGAGAAAATGTACAGACTCATATAGATCAATTATAAAAAGTAAAAAAATATGAACAAATAATTTCTCAAAGAAAATCTGAGATGGTCACAGAAAAGTATGAAAAGTTCTCACAGTAACAGTATGGATACTTGAAACAAATTAGGATGGAATGTTGGCAATAGTGGTGTCCCATTCTAAGTGATTTTGACAGAGTGAACATGATCCTTGCCTTACACAGTTAAAGATGTTTAACTGTTTCAAGATATGCTGTCATTGCTCTGGCTTTTGCTTACTGAACTTTCTTGGTAAAGCCAATACTCTCTAACACGTAACAGATAATTATTGAACACCCAATGCTTCAGGTTCTCTAAGCCAGATGCTACAGGCTGTTAAGTATTTCCATAAGAGTTTCCTGCTCATCAAGGAGCCCATCATTTCCTTGATGGAAAGCGCAGACGGACAAAATAACTCCGTAAGATTCCCTAAAGAAAGTACAAAAGCACCCCATGTTGAATAGGGAGATGACCCATTTCATTTAAAAGGGCGAGAGAAGGTGACAAAGAGACAGAACAAAGAAGAATCTAAGCTTTTCCTTAGAAATAAAGGTTTAATTTGCAGATGGAGATGGGTTGAGCAATTCCTAGGGTGTACTCAGTCTGTAATTTATTATGCCTACCTGATCTAAATGGTTACTTACATGGGGAATATGTGTGTGGCTGATTTTGTTGTTAGGTGTCAAGTCAATTTTCGACTCACAGCAACCCTGTGTGCCCGAAGAGAACCCATGGGGTTTTAAGAGACCATAGGTTTGCTGGGCTGCTATCTTCCTGGGAGCAGGTCACCAGGTGTTTCTCCTGTGAAGCCCTGGGCTGGGTTTGTGTGTGCCGTCTAATAATTTCCCAATCCTTGCTTCTAGGTTCCAACTCATTGGCTCTTCATCCACTACTTGTCTCCTCTCAGGCAATAATGCCGTTTGGGATCAAGAGGCACCTATTTGTGAGAGTAAGTTAAAATATTTTCCCTCTAAATCCTTCCATTTTATACTGATTTGCTCCTGGAGTGACAAAGACTCTGTCCAGTAGAGATGGGTTCCTCCGAGAGTTGAAAATGGGAAACTTGTATTGCATGGTCCTCGCATTTTTCTTTCTATTAAAAATTAGTTTATCTGGAATGGAGGACCTGCACTGAGTTTAAAATCCTCCTTCTATCTTACTGTGATCATAGACTTTTCCCAGTATAAATGTTGCTTTCTTTACCGAGTATATTTTAAAGACACGAGAAAAGAAATTGGCGTGTCTCATTGCCAACTCTTCAAATCACAATTGCAATCTTAAGAAGGTAGACCATTCTCTTTCTCATCATTCTTACTGTAAATAGTAAAAGTAGGTCTCCATATAACTCCGAGCGATTTCTCCAATTTTATAACTCAGAACTTCCCCAATTCCGCAGCTTGTTTTCAGCTTTGCTCTTCCTTCTCAATTCTGTCAGGGTCATGGCCTTGGCTATATTTGTCCTTGATGAGTGTATTGTACATCTTTTGTACATGGGATTTTGAAGTGAGTCTCCCCCACCCCCCCGCCACCAATTTTTAAAATCATTTTATTGGGAGCTCATATAGCTCTTGTCATAATCCATACATATGTCCATTGTGTCAAGCACATTTGTGCATATGTTACCATCATCATTTTCAAAATTCTTTCTTTCTCCTTGAGCCCTTGGTATCAAGCTCATTTCCCCTCCTTCCCCACCCTCCCTCTCCCATGATCCCTTGATAATTTATTAGTTTTTTTTCATGTCTTACACTGACCACTGTCTCCCTTCACACACTTTTCTGTTGTCCGTTCCCCTGGGGGGAGGCATGTTATATGTCAATCATTGTGATCTGTTCCTCCTATCTCCCCTCAACCTTCCCCATCCCCTCCTGGTATCGCTACTCTCATTATTGAACCTGAGGGGTTTATCTGTCCTGGATTTCCTATGTTTCAAGCTCTTGCTGTACCAGTGTACATGCTCTGATCCAGCCAGATTTTTTAGGTAGAATTGGAGTCATGATAGTGGAGTGGGGATGGACGCATTAAAAAACTAAAGCAAAGGTGTGTGTTCTGTTGGTGCTGTACTGCACCCTAGCTCGTCTCTTCCTTGTGGCCCTTCTGTAAGGGGATGTCCAATTGTCAACAGAGGGATTTTGGGTCTCCACTCCACCTTCCCCTTCATTCCCATCGATATGGATTTTTGGTTGGGGTCTTTGATACCTGACCCCTTCGACACCTCATGGTCACACAGGTTGGGGTGCTTCTTCCCTGTGGGCTTTGTTGCTTCTCAACTAGATGGCCGCTTGTTTATCTTCAGGCCTTTAAGACCCCAGACACTGTATCTTTTGATAGCCAAGCACCATCAGCTTTCTTCACCACATTTGCTTATGCGCCCACTTTGTCTTCAGCAATCATGCAAGGGAAGGTGAGCATCCCAGAATGCCAGGTTAGTAGAACAAAGTGCTCTTGTGTTGAAGGAGTACTTGAGTGGAAGCCCAATGTCCATCTGCTGCCTTACTACTTAACAAATAAATATATGTACATAAATCTATTTCCCTATTGATATATAGAAAATATATGTATTTACATATGTAAATGTCTTTATTTAGACCTCTATAAATGTCCTTTGCCTCCTGTTTCTTTCCTCTATTTCCTTTTACTTACCTCTTGTCCCACTATCATGTTTGGCCTTCATTTGGGCTTCTCTAATTCCTCTCAGCTACATTGCCCTTGATCAAGCCCCACCAGCCCTCCCATGTCCTCCTCACCATCGATTTTAGATCACTTGTTGTTCCCTTGCCCCTGGTTTGTGGGCACCCTCCTTCCTTTCCCCTGCCTTCCCTTCTCCTGTGTCCCCCCAGAACCATTGGTCCCATTGTTTTCTCCTCCAGATTGTTTATCCTGCCTATCTTATCTAGAAAGACATGCAGTGACAATAATGAATACAAACACAAGACAAAGCAAAACATAACAACAAAAGAAACCAAAAACACAAATCAGCAACAATAACAACAGCAAAAAAAAGAGAAAAACCTATAAATATTTCCAGGTTTGTCTATTGACCTTTTTGAGTGTTTCCAGTAAAGTCTGATGGGTGCCAGGCCCTGACCTCAAAGTCTATTTTTGATATTCCTCAGGGACTTCGTTGCTTTGCTCCCCTTGCTGTTCTGTTGCACACCCTTAGTGTTTCACCCTGATGTGGTAGAATCAGATAAGGCACAATTCCCCCACTATGTCTCCAGTGTTGTTCCCCGTAGCACTATGGTTCAGTAAGAGACATCAAGTCTCATGGTGGGTTCCACCCTATGGTCCTCTCTGTGCACTGGCTGCTCTGAGCAGGGATATCATCCTTGGGGCTTAGTGACCTCCCCCCAAATTTTTTAGGAACCTGGAGAATGAGTGATAGAAAATTGGCAAAGATGTAAGACTGTGCGGCAGTTAGTACCACACACAGAATTGGTGGAAATGAGAGTGGGCCCAAACTTGGGAAGGCTAATAGGCAATCGATTTTTTAAAAAAATACTAATGGAAATGCCCTTATACTCAGCAATTCTACTTCCTAGGCTCTATGCCAAGAAAATAACTGTGGAATTTCCCATGGTTTCCAGAGCTTTATTCAAAATATACTCAATGCAATGTCATTTATGATCATGAAAAATATGAACAACCTAAAGTTCAATATGGTTTGAAAAGAGTTAATTAAAAAGATAAATCTCATTTAAGCATGGCTAACTTCTTTACCAATCAATGTTCATAGAGACAGCAGTTAAGAAATCAAGTAATATATGTATTGGACAAATCTGCTGGAAAAGCCTTCTTTAGAAGTTTCATAATCAAAGATGTTACTTGGATGAATAAGGTGCACCTGATCCAAGCCATGGTCTTTTCAGTCACCTCATATGCATGCAAAAAGGTGTGCAATGATAAAAAAATATTCACTTGAGCTGTGATAGTGATAAGGAATATTGAAAATACCATGGCCTGCTGGAAGGATGAACAAATTAGTCTTAGAAGAAATGCAACTAGAATACTCCTTAGAAACAAGGGTGGTAAGGCTCACTTGCTTTGATTTGCCATCAGGAAAGAACAATGACTAGAAAAAGCCATCGTGGTTGGTGGTGAGTCAGTGAAAACTAGGAAGCATTCAATGACACAGGCTAACATAATAGCCATGACAATGGACTCAAACAAACCGCCGATCAAAGATACAACGCAGGACCAGACAGCATTTTGTTCTGTTACATATACAGAAGGCAGATCCTCCTCATCAGCAACTGGAGATAATAGATCTGTAAGACAAGGACAACAGTGTATCCCAAGGAATTAAAGGAAGAGACAACTCATCCACCTAGAACTAGATCTTTTACAGAGATCCTTTACATCCATCTGGATGTATAGGATCCATCTGGATCCATCTGGAATAGTATTCAACCACTAAATATGGTACTACAGATTATATGTCCTTATACACGTGTGCATGCACACACATATTTGAAAGGATACACGTTAAATTGCTAAGAGCAGTTATCTCTGGACCTTTACCAACTTCTTAATTGGCTTTGTCCATATTTTATTCATTGTCTATAATCACCATGTATTATATTAATATAAAAATAGCAGGCATTCAGCGATTCAAAGAAATGAATGATAAGCTTTAAAAGGTACCTATTTTAACTTGGCAGGGAATTTTAATTCTCTAGAAAATTTATATTACCAAGGGATTATCAGTTTACTATAAAAATTTGTCTAGTCTGAACACCTACCAAAGGGTTATCTTTGATAAAAAATGGTTCTATTTCTACTATATTTATAAGTCAATAATCACTTGACCAACATTGACTATAAATGTGTATGAACTTATTCCAATATTTCAGTTATTATCTTAAAATAAACATAATATTCATTTATCATTTAATTTATTATTGATAAATCTGTAATCATTTAATTTCATATGTCTTATCTTGTAGATTTTTACTTTTTCTTAATGGATATAACCAAAAGTAGTATATGTTACCTTCAAAGATGTCATTTCAGTTTAAAAATTAGTCCAGTGTCAACACCAGGTAAATAAGATGTCCATTAAACAATAAAACATCAGATGTCCATTCAAAATCACATAGCCATATTGGAATGTGGGCATTTAACACTAAATAATTACTTTGGGCAGGCCTACATAGCACATATAGCAAGTATTATAATTATTTACAGCTCAGGGAGTCACTTCATTCTTTTTACTTGCATTCATATTAAAATAGTTCATCATTTAAAAAGTGAGCTCTTGATGGTGCCTGGCTATCAAAAGATAGC